ATTCCACGATTCGATCGAGGAACAAGAAATCATGCTTCACTTCCTCCTCCTCCTCCAATTATTCTCCCTAACCCACAAGATTGTAAAATTGAAAGGTTCAATATCACTCAAGCCCTTTTGGCAAGTAAACATAAAGAGGGCAAGTCGGTGTGTGCACACGTCTTAGGGATGAAGTCACACATTGATAGATAAAGAATGATGGGATCCGTTGTCGGTGAAGCGATGGCTGTTGATTGGGTTCTTCAGTCACTTCCTAACTCGTATAGTGAGTTCGTAAGAGAGTACTATATGATGAACCACGACATGACACTTATAGATCTCACCTACATGCTTATTGCTGCTGAATCAACAATGGTTTGGCGCAATAGAAAAGCAAAGTTGATTGGTGAATCTGCCTTCAAGACCTCTATGGATATAGACAATGGCAATGAAAGACATGCAATGATCGAAAAGTTTGATCATAAGAGAAAGGCGATGTCTGAAGTAGTTCCATGTGTTGTTCCAAAGGAGTCAATTTGCTTTTATTGCCAAGAGAAGGGGCATTGGAGACGAAGTTGCCCTATCTACCTAAGAGATCTAAGAGATGGGAGAGTCAAAAGTATGACTACGCTTTAGGTAAGAATCCACTATCTAACTCCATTAAGTTCCTATTCATTGATTCTTAATACATGATGTGATAAGATTGCATTTGAATGTTTTGAAGGATCGGTGAAAAGAAAGGAAGCTTGATAAGAGAGCAAGATGAATCTAATCACAAGAGATGGATCTCGATCTCATGGACTTGAAGATTGGATTTTGAGCTTAGATAGTTATGATAGAGTTGTTAGAAATTTTCTTTTTACATAGTTTTCAATAGATTGTGCATTGTAAGGACAAATGCTTTTCCGCTGCTTTTATATATAAAATAAATTTTGTTTGACTTATTTGCTTACTTCCTTGCAATGAAATCGTTATGTGAAAATTGATGTTTTCATATTTCTACAATGAATGGATATGATTCTTAGTTATGTTATTTATGGAAATGTCGAGAATTTACCAAATAGGGAGAGTTTCTCATCGCCCAAGTTTCAATTGGACAGAAACTTGGAATCACGCAACTTGGTTGTACGATGAATGAGAAATTTCATATTTGGAAATTAGACTAATTCATTGACAAAGTGTCAAGTGAAGGATTAGGAGATCGAGTACACAAAGTTGTGTGTTGATCAAGTTCACCATAAGAGTAACAAATATATTCGTCATGATTTACTAAAGGCTTAGTAAATATGATTACACTTACAAGATTAAGTGTAATTTTGAATTGATTAAAGAGTTTAGATCAATAGTAGAACGAATAAGAAGAATCAAGTAGGAAGAAAGATAAAAGTTTCCCCATTCTAAGAAGAAGGGAGAGTAGCTTTTATGCTTTATGATAGGTCTTAATGATTAAGAACCATATCTCAATTGATCCTCTACGTGAGTCTTGGTACAATTGTATGTCGAAGAAGAGGAATCAAAGATTGAAGAAATTGTCAAATCAAGAAGTCAATCATACTTCGTTCCAAAACAAGTCTTAAAGTCAAGATTGTGACATTGAGTGAATAGTATAACATTCATCAATTGTGGAAAGTTGTGATGTCTTGGATAAGACAAAGACCAACTAAGACCAAAATTATGAAGTGTTTTGTTAAAAGCTACACTAACTCTTGAATATTTGTTTGTCAAGAAATGTTTTGATAAGAGAATTGTATATGTCAAGGAGTCAGTGGGAATCTTAATAGTCTTGAAAAGGTTTCAAGAACAAATCAAATAAACCTTATTGATCATCACTAGCACACGAGTTGAAGTTTACAACCTATCGTGAAGACATTATTTTGTTTCTGTGCCAATCCAATCGAGTTAATTATGCATGTGAGTCCTATGAGTTCTCATTTGAATGCATAAAAGGCAAGGACCTTGATCAATGGAAAGTACATTGATAGGAAAAGGTGAGCTGCTTAACTACTTGGAAGACGTGGTGGGCAGCTGTGCTACCATATGGCAAGAAATCAACATTAAGGAAGTTCGATCCATATGAGTTTGAATTCGTCGTAAACTTTAGTTTTAACAAATTCACATGGATAGGAACACATACACCGTTTAAATCTAAGTGTCATAAGATTTCCTCCTTCATGAAAATTATTGTGAGGAAATGCTTTCACTAAGAAAGATTTTAAAAGATAGTGATTGTAAAATTGCATTCTCGAATTCAATCATGGTTACGGTATCCCTTTCCATAATTTGAATTGTGAGGTTTGGCAATTAGTCTTAATTGTTTAGACACACATATCAACTATCAAAGGCAAAGGTGTACAAGTTCAAGAAGCCTTGATAAAAGATTATCAAAGCACTAAGTATTAGAAACATGAACTTAAGAAATTCAATAAGTATTGTTTTTCTGAAAGTTAAAATGTTTATGAATACATGTTGAAGCTAGTGGGAGCATAAGTGTTATGTTTTATAATAATCATCATGATAGTGGGAGCATAAATGTTATGATTGTATGATTATTAAGGCACGTATTGCATAGTTGGCAATATTAATTATAGAAAACAAGAGTCATACTTTGCAAAGTTGTAAGAGTTGAAAGGTTGTTTTGCTATAATTAAGGGAGAGAATATTATGCTTCATTTCAAATCTAAAGGATTAGGTTGTGGAATGTTAATAAATTTAGTCAAAGGTACATAGTGTGTTCTTAAAATTTCGATTGTGATTACGACATTCCTCTTCACAATTCGAATTTTGAGAACATAGCAAATAAAACATTGTGCATCATGTCCCATACGCTTCGGGTATAGGATCGATTGCAAATGCTTTAATGTTTGACCATTCTAAAATTTTCCAAATGTCTAGTGCATTTAGAGGGAAAAGGGACTAGAATTGGTTTTGACTAAAATAATTAAACAACTATCAAAGGACAATCCAAAGTTCGACGAGGATTGGTCGCTTGTGAGTAGTTGGAAGTATAGTATTGGAAATTATGGAAATGTTTCCATATTGGATGGACAATATCGACATCATTACGAATAGATAGGATTCTATTAATAAATTAGTTGTCATATGGAAAATATGGAAGCGTGTCCATATTGGGAAGTAAATATTAAAAATCTATGTCTAGATTAGAAACTTTTATGCAAAAGGATGTTCAAAGGAATGTACTTTGAGTGAGAGACATCATATCTAAGGAATTGTCTTGTAACAATCTCCGATAGAGGAATTTGTAATATCATTGGCAATTGTCTTTGAGACTTTGGTGCAGTGACATTACAAAAGGATCGATGCATAAAGTGTTAGAATCTAGTATATTCTATAAGTAACAAGAATTTGATATTCTTACACTTAAGAAAATGAATTGGAGTTGTGAAATGAGAATGATTGGAAATGTGTTCAATTTGTCTATTTCACAAAAGTAAGAACCATAGGTAAACATTGTGTGCATGCTAGGAGCATGGGACAAGTGTAATAATTCAAGTAAGAAGTTGATTACCTGAAACGACAAATAATGAGTAATCGATATGGTGATAAATAAAACGTGTTTTGTTTATACTCAAAGGGTTGAGGCCATATGGGATTAGTATTATTCTTGTGTTTCACCTTGCATGTTTTGACTTCCAGAATAATTGAGTTTATTAAGAATAATCGAATTATTCAAACGGACCACAGTCGTTCATATGTTGGAAGTAGATATGAATGAAGACTGTCGTGAATTGGTGTGTGGATTGTCTAGAAGAGTATTAGACATAAGCAAATGTTTGTTGCAATGTTCATGAGTGCTTATGAATATGATTTGAGCATTGGATTAAACCCACACTCACTTGGATCACTCCATGAATTGTATTACGAGTGATTGGTGAGACGATGTCATCATAAATCAGAAATCGAGAAGTAGTACAAAGAGAATGATTAGAAATCATATCTCATATGATATCTAGAATGGAGGAATATATGATCCCTTATCTAAGGACACGCGTATCTGATATGACCAGAGTTGACAGCGGCTTTGGAAAGCTACGATTGCAGATCAGGATCTGAAGTCATACGCAGAATAGTTGTTAGACTTATCCAAGTGGGAGACTGTTGGATTAGTGTCTAAGTCCATAACTATTTTGGTATGTACTTGACCCGATGGTGCATGGTCCTTTTGGGTTGCCTTCACCAAAGCAACTTGATTGGAGAAATGAATAAAGAGAGAGAGGATAATATGATTTATTAATATGTTATAAGAATAATATATTAAAGGAGAAATCATATTTGTTTAATTAATATTGGTCAATAATTAGTTAAGAATTAGTTTTGTGATCAAATGTAATTAATTAAACTAGAGGGGCTGATTTGTAATTATGTGATAGTTACAAAATAAGGTAAGGATTATCTTATTTATATGGTGGACGAATTTAAGGTTGGAAAGCCTTAGAATTCGAGTATGATAAGGATTCAAGGATTATCTTATTGGTTGCTTAATGGATAATCAACTAGATAAGGATAATGACTGAAACCCTATCTCTACACCTATATAAACACCCCTAGGGTCATGAATTCGTGTATCCCTTCCCAAGAGGTCCTAGATACGAATTCTAACCTCTCACCTCTCTCCTTATACCTTCTCCACTTGCTTATGGTGTTTGTGAACCATTAGAGGAGTGACACTTGTGACTCTAAGCCTTCCAAAGTCAATACAAGGAGATTTGGGATTGTTATTGCTACATAACAATCAAGGTAACACTATAAACTTATTCTCATGTTAATATGATTATATGTATGCTAGAATTAGGGTTTATAGTCTTGGATTCAAAGCATGTACAATAGAGAAACCTAGATCCAAGCATTAGGGTTTGTATGAGCACATAGGATGTCTTATGACCAAAACCCATCAATAAATGGTATATATTTTTCAAAGAAAGCACATTGCTATCTGTTGCATTCATTTTTTTTTATCTCAAGAAATGTCTAGATTTTCATTAATTGGTAAACAAATTTAAGTCTTATTCAGTTTTTACCTGATTGTACTTGGCTAAGCGCTCTCCACGAGAAGGAGAGCCTGCTTTGATTTGATAAGAGGCAAGACCAACCACCAGGTCAGCAATGAAAGAATCATCTATATCCCCACTTCTCTATGATATCACCACCATAACTTGGAACCATCATAACTAGTCAGCAGATTCATACACATTTGAGAGGTTAAAACATCTTAGAAAACTTCCTCAGGGCATTATGGTCACATAAATGTTATACATCATCTTCCTCAGGCAGTTTCACTGCTGTGTAAATACCTGCACCAGCTAGTGCGCCAAGGATGGGAGCTGTAAGGTAGATCCATATGCCTTTGTAGTTATTTGCAGCTATTGCTAGTCCCAAGGTTCTTGTTGAGTTCATTGATGCTCCTGTCAGTGGCCTATATCATTTCAACAAAGGGAAAAATGTGAACAAAGAGGTTACCCCTTTTTTTTTTTTTTTTTTTTAAAAAAAAAAAAAAAAAAACTTCTATCAACATACCCAGTTATCAGAATATTAAGAAGCTTCAATTTATACGTACCCATCTATAAGAATATTAAGCATGACAGTTGCCCCAGCTATTCCCGCTAGCTCGCCAACCTATGGTGAAATAAAAATCAGGTTACAGTTATTTGAATAATTGCAAAATTTGTCTATGTTCATGTATATATAAAATTTCCATAGCCAATTTTATATTAATACTATAAAATAATAAATATAAATAAATAAATATATATATATATATATATTTACATATATATATATATATATATATACTTACATATAAATATATATATATATATATATATATATTACCCGTGAAGACCAGGGGTAGATGGGCGATATACACTTGTTAAGCCTAATTGTCTAGCAGCTGAAGCAGTGGTTTCGCTAATGCATGCAACAGAACCCTCCCATGTCTGTGGTTCAGGTAGAAAATCCACTGAAGCACTGTTGCATGATAAAGATTAACAGATTAGAGGTCATTTTTTTGGATTTATTTTTCAGGTTTTATGTTTTTTTTGTCACACCCCGAAAACCGAAGGCGGAATACATTCCCGGGGCGGACTTCCACGTTGAGTATCAATTCCAATGTACATAGTAAGTAAAGTAAAACAAGCATTACATTACATAATAACAATTTTACAAGTGTTTCAAAAGCATAATTTGTACAGTTGTGATACATAGTATATATAGACAAAAGGTAACGAGTCTTCATGAACACCATCTTCAAGCAAAAAGGATCTTCGGGTACCTGTTCTAACGTTGACCTGAGAACACAAGCGGTTTGAAAATCAGCATAAAGCTGGTGAGTTCATAAGTGGTTTTTGTTTGTGAAAATGTTTCAGTTTCCTTTCTGTTTCTGAAATGTTATGTATACCAAAAAAATCCCATAATTTCTTAAAAGTTGGTTATTGTTTCACAAATGTAAAGTATGGTAGGTTTGTACACTGAAAACATGTTTACTTATTGTGTGTAACCAGGAAAGTCCCATACTTTCCTGAATGTATGTACAAATTGTGAAAGATGTAATGTTATTCATTCTGTGACTCTTTCTAGTTATGTAAGTATTACCCAGGAAAGCCCCGTGCTTTCCTGTATGTATGTATCTCATGTAAACGATGTAAAAGATGTAAAAGATGTAATCGTAGTTAGGTTCTATGTTTTTCCCCAGGAAGGTCCCGTACCTTCCTAAATGTTGGTTCCAGTAAGTAAAAGATGTAAAAGATGTAAACGATGTAAACGATGTATAAAGTTATCCATTATTACTGTTAGTAAATCTATGTTATCCTAATTGCGAGTGCCATAACCATACAATAGACTAAAACCTGTGGCAATAAGTCGTCCACATGTGGCAATAAGTCGTCCACATACTTATGACTTTCGTCACCCTTGAACCATTTCGGTTCGGCTGTAGCTAGCAGCCAGGTGTGGGGTAGTCAGCCCCGTATAGATCTATACACTCAAGTCACGTTCTCTAAATACCAGAGATTCTGGTTATGGGTGTAGTCCTCCACTCGCGTAATCCAGGTGGAGTGTTCTCCGAGGACGTGTCTCCAATCATACAGGAATAACAAATTTACTAGTAATAATATGAAAAATCCTCCATTTGTATAAATGTAAAGAGTGTTACCGAGGATAATACAGTGTATAGGTATTAAATTCAAATGTCTTATTGTCATGCTTTTAACTGATAAAATATGGAAAACCATTTGTGAAATACATGTAAAACATACTAGTTTTAAAGACTTATTTCGCAAATATATGTTACGTGACTTGTATGTTCGATCTGTTATCAGTCGTGGTTATCAGTTTTAAAAAGCATAAGAGTATGAAACACACATTTGAAAATATGTTATGAGTACAAGAAATTCCCTTGTACTATGCTTGTGTCCCCCCCTGAAAACAGTAAAAACAGTGAAAAAAAGTAGGGGTATGAACTCACCGGACTCGGAAACTTGTCGGTTTGGAATGCTAGATGTCGGTTCAGGGTTGGATTACTCGCGAGGACCCTATGTAAGATGATATAATGTCCATATATATATACAATTAGAGATACATTCACTAATTATATGGAATATTGCACTCCAGTGAGGTTAAACACCTCAAAATGAGTGTTCGGAGTGACCCGGGTGACATCTATTGATTTGTAATGGCACTAGGGACTTGGGACTTGAGTTTACTCTCCTTTAGTAAACATTTTAGGGATTTTACAACATTGAAACACCCACATACATGAGTTTACGGCCGTAAACTCATGTGGGTGAGGTTTTGGTGCTTTTAGGGCTTAAATGGACTTAGGGATTCTTAGGACTTATCATCAAAACACTTTGGAACACTTGGAATGGATTTAAAACATATGAAACATGAGTTTACGGCCATACTCATAGAGTTTACGGCCGTAAACTCTCAATGGCTTTGAAAAATTGATTTGAGTCATTTAGAGCAATCACATGTGATTCAAACTAATTTTCTAAGCTTTGTTATGAATTTAGAACATCAATCAAGACCTTTATATGAGTTTACGGCCTAGAGGGATGTTCTAGGGCCGTAAACTCTCTTTAACCTTAAGAAAAATTAGTTTTTGGTGCTAAAGACAATCACATGTGATTATAGAATTTTGTATAAACCATTTGAGTGTGTTTTATGCATCTTAAACCTTGTTTTATGAGTTTACGGCCAAAGAGTATGCTCCTAGGCCGTAAACTCTCATAAATCACACTTTTGTGGTGTTTCAATCCCTTAAACCATTTTTAGATGCATCTAGATTATATCACAAAGCCATAGATTGAGTTTGGAAGCATTTGGACATGTATAAAGGTCTTAAATCACCCTTTTTGAGGAGTTTACGGCCCAAGGGAGTGTCTTGGCCGTAAACTCTTCTTTGTTACTCAAAAATCAAGTTTAAAGTGTTCCAAGTCTAGATTATCAAGTCCAAGGTTCATATCAAAGCCCTAACTAGGTATTGGAAGGGTTTTAGGGCATGAAAACCCTCTTTTGAGGAGTTTACTGCCCAAGAATGTTCCTTGGCCGTAAACTCTTCTAAGTCACACAAAAGTTATGTTTTAATTGATCCAAGTCCATATCTTGAAGCCCCATATGCATATCTAAGGTCCAAAGGAGTCAAGGAGGGAGTTTAAGAGCTTAAAACCCCATTTAATGGAGTTTACGGCCCAAGATAGTTCCTTGGCCGTAAACTCATGTTCTTGGACCCTAAACTCTCTAAATTCATCAATTTGAATGTTAAAGATGTTGAATAACATGTTAGTGAAGTTACCTTAAAGATTTGAAGCCTTAACTTGTGATTTTTGACCTTAATTCAAGCTTGGAGGAGAGAGGTTGTAAGTGTTTAGTGATAAATTGGCCAAAGGCTTCAAATGGAGTCCTAATCACGTTTTTATAGTGTTTAAGTTTTGGACACGGTGAAATTCTACCCGATACCGGTGTTAGACGGGGTTTTTGGTCGTACCCGATTGAGTTACCGTAACCCGATACGGTAAATATTAGAAATATTCCGATAACTAAAGTTGGGTGTTGGAATGTTTTCTAAATGTATTAAGACACCCATTAAGTCATTTTAAATGCGTACTAGATAATGACTTAATTAAATGAAGGATCGGAATTCGAAATCGGAACGACGGTCGGTTACGCGAATTGTGCTATGGAAGAGTTACAATATAATGACATGGAAATTTCGGGTTGTTACATTTTTGGTTGCATAAAGCAATAAAAATAGCAATGAAAGAAATGGTGTCTTCTTGAAGTCAAAGTCCATGAAAGCATGAGGAAGATATTTGTTGAATTTCGCAATATATTATAACAAAAAAGTTCGAGAACTTTATATCTAAGAATACAAATTATTGGAGTGTAATGGAGACTGAGAAAACCTCTAAATAAATAATCAGATAAGCTTCAGTTCGGTTAAGCTTTTTAAATTAGGTCATAAAACAAAGCATTGAACTAACCCCAAACAAAACATGTGAAACTCCTTCAAAATTTACAAACAAAAAAATATTTATATTTATATTTAAAAACATGTGAAACTCCAAAAAAAAAAAAAAAAAAAAAAAAAAAAAAAAAAAAAAAAAAAAAACAGGTGGCATAATTAATAGAAAATGATCTTACTTTAATTGGATGCACGGCTATTGAAGACAAACTTCAAGAAGGGTAAGAAAGAAGCTGCAGCAACACCTCAACCCCTGCTGCAACAACATTTCCATTAACCCAAGACAGAAGAAATTATGATGCTTAATTGGATCAAACTCCACTACTTCTTCAAAGTTGCTTTCCCCATTTGGAGGCCCTAAATACCAAAATATATAAATAAAATAAAAAAGATTAAATGTTCAATCATTTTTAATAGAAAAAAGGACTCTAACCTAGCCCATTTGCAGGAGGCTCACATGGTTATACATTCATGCTCTTTATGTTACATTTTCATAATTTCAGGTTCGTGAAATGGCAATGGTTTCTGCTGTTCAGGAAGCCCAGAAAGATAATCTCAGAAACTTTAGTGACTACATGATGACAGTGTTAGAGGTTAGTTTCTACACAAAGTCAAAGTTACACTTCAATTCTGTATTCTGATATCTACTAAATTACCCTTTTACCGCCTGTTTAATACTAAATTACCTATTTTTTTTTCTATCTGTCAGGATGACTGGCAAAAGGAAAAAAGGGACTTTCTTCACAGCTTGAGCCGCATCTCCAGTTTAGCAAGGACCAATGTAACTGATTCAAGCATTGGGGCTAACCGATCAGGGCCAATATTATCTCTATTTTCTAGTCCTCACATTTCATCTGGTCCTTCTAACATGGAGCTTTTGGCAATAGTTGATAAAAAGGCTGCAACATATGTCCAGGTTGTGAGAAAACTCAATGATGCAAGAAAACGTAGTTTAGAATATAAAGTAAGTCCATCAACTTATCATACTTTTGTTACTCGACTTATTTATTAATGTGTATTTTGTTCCATTTTTCAGTCAGCTACTACTTTTAAGAATGCATATGATCACAATCTTGGCCTGGATTCTTCTAGTGGTAACTCAGTTACCATGAACAAGGTCTGGCATCTAATTCAGGTACACATTGTTTTCATATGTAGAAGATTGCTCTTTCAAGCATTTTGTCGATCACTTGGAGTGCATATATGCTCTTTTTTTTCTGACCCATTTACTTTAATTGTACATTTATAACCATCGAAAACAAATGCCAAAATCACATACTTTAAGCATCGATTCATTGTAAAATATAAAATAAAACATCAAACTGAGGTTCAACAAAATAACATTAAGAGAGGGGTAGAGATTTTCGAGATGATCTACAGGGGATGAAGAAATAAAGTTCTTCTGTTCAAAAATAAAACCAAACAGATTCATCACTCTCAACATTTTAAAGACAAACATCAAGTAGTTAAACACAAATTTTAAACTGAAATTTAATCAATATAATGAAAAATCAGAAAAAACATACTCACAGTAGTAGTCGTGGCGGCTGTAGTTTTCGACTCCGCCATCATAAACTTTTTTGTTGAAGAAATAGGAGATGGTAGAAGCGTCCTTTTCATAGCATAGTAACACCTCCCATTCCTGGGAGAAATAGGAGATCGTAGTTGTCGACCGTAGTTAAACACAATTTTTGTTGAAGAAAGGAAACTTCAATTAAACGAACAACTTTACCATATTTGGGAGAAAAAATCGGGAATGGGTTACTATTAACGAACCTTAGAGAGTTTATCGCCACCAAGATGATGCAGATGCACGAAAAAAAACCAGAATCCTTTTTTCTTGATTGAGAAGATGAAGTTGAGGGATGAATGAGAAGTCTTGTTCCCCTAATTTGCTGAATGGATGAAGAAATAGGAACAAGGCTAGAAGCGCAACTAGACTAGGGTTTGTAAACGTGGGGAGTCATTGTAGATGGAGTAGGGTAGAGGTGAAGAGGAGTGAGCGGGGTACTTCAAAATTTTGGGGGATTTTCCATGTTTCTAGTGGTGGCGGCTGCTAGGTTGTATAGAGAGTAGCAGGGGAGAAAATGAAAGAAGATATTACTATTTCAAATGTGTTATGTTTGATTAGGGTTTGCACATAGAAGGAAGTGAAAGTCGATCGGAGAAGAAAGGGTTTGCAGAGAGAAAGAAGGGAGAGAATGAAGTTGATTTGGCGGGTGTAGAGAGTAGAGAGGAAGAGGAAGCGGGTGTTCAAAATTTTGGGGGATTTAGTTTCCCCCCTGAGTCCCAGAAACGCGCGTTTATTAAAATTATAAAGCGACATTTGTAGAGGACGCCCATTTTATTATAGGTGCCCTCCGTGTTTTTAATATTTTTACATGAGACGCTAATTTAAGGGCACTCAGTAATGTGTGACCTAAATCCTTAAAATTTTTGAAGAGATGACACTTTTTTAATGTCGCTCTCTAATGTGTAACATAAATCAAAGAGCGTCGTGTTTTGCGCGTCGTAAAAGGCCTTTTTTCTAGTAGTGTCATTTTGGGGATATCTCATCACATAAGGGTGGAATGATAAAACTGATCGGTTTTACGCAAAACAAAAAAGTAAATTAATAAATAAATAAATAAATAAAATAAGTGTGCATGCAACCCTAGAATAAGATCTATGTTTTCTCTAATTAAATATACAACTTTCAACATCAAATAAGAAACACTAGCATACCTAACATATTTTCGAAAATATGATTAGGGCTAAGAGAAACATACCTTGATTGTTGTTGACAAATAACAAAGAACTTTGTGTTGTTGAAGCCTTAAGAGAAAGCACCACAAATATCGTGCCTCTAGTGGTTCACACCCAACACTAGCAACAAGATGAATATGGAGAGAGGAGAGGGGCATATAAGAATTTTAGTTATATGTCTAAAGATATGAGTGGCCAAAATCCTTTGGGATGAGGACTCTTTTATTGTCCAACAAGGATGCTGTAGATAACCCAAATTTTAAGATAATAATAATATTTCAAATGGTTAATTATCCAACGCCTTATTTATATTTATAGAAACCCTAGAATACCCTTATTGAAACCGTCAAACCTTCTCCAAGAAGGTTCTGGAGCCTCTTGTTCAACTATTGAACAATTGGACATTAGACCCTAGACTTTTAATAAATTCTTTTAATTTTTATTAATTTCTGATTAAATATTAATTATATATAACTATTTGTAATTAATATATTGTTCTCACAACATATTAATAAATTATTTATTTCAATTTATTAATTATATAATAAATGAACCTCTCTCTCTCTCTCTCTCTCCAAAAGTCATGTCGTCCAGTTGCTAGTTATGAGGCAACCCAAAAAACTATGCTACAATCAGTTCAAGTATATACAAATTATAGTTATGGGATTCGACACTTAATCCAACAAAAATAGTGGAAGATATCCAAATCCAATAATACTTGCTTATTCTTGGCTTGAAGCTTCGCGTCTTCTTTCTCCCTTCTTGTGGAGGAATTCATTAAGAGTTTAACTCCTCCTAGTTATATTTTGACTATATGCACTTTTGAGTTTACTGGTTATGAACCAAGAGAGGGATTCCGGTTTGAGTCATTTCCATGTAAACAAGGTCACGAGCACGAGAGCTCAAGCGCGAAGCCATACATCCATAGGTTGCATGTACACTTAGGTATATCATAATTTATTTTTTTTCACTACCTAGTTTAAGTGTTTTGGATACATAGAAAACCTAACATCTAAAAGTTTTAGGCCCCAAGTGCGGATGCTACGTTATCCATCCGGAGTCAAGAAGGACATACATGATGGTGCAAGTGGTTGATGGTGGGATACTGAAGAAGTGAAAGACTATTGTAGGGCCATTGAAACGGATTAACCAAGGCCCTTATATGGTTAGAATTAGGTGGTTGGATGCAAGTTATAGTTCACAAAATCATAGAAAAAATGGTTGTGTTGTTGAGTGGTGAAATATGCTTGTCCATTACTTAGAAAACATGCATATTTTTATTGTATTAGATGTTCATTTCATGCAAAATGATTAATAGTAGAACACCATTACAATTGTTTCATTTTTTACCACTTTTTTGTTGCCCCTTTTTGTTTATAGCAAGAAGATGAACAATTCAAGGCCAAATGCTTCCATTGACCAACGTTGATGGTGTAACTTGCTAATTTCCTTTGTAATACATGTGAACATTTAGAAACATAATATATAAATAAATAATAACACGTTATCTATAAATGACATAATATGACATTTAATATTACCATAAAAGAAAATACATTTAATTCATAAAACTTATAGCAATAGACCTTTAAATTTTGCTTCCTCTGATGTTTCCAATTGTTCCACTCGTCCAACTTTATACCTTCAAATTTTACATAAAACTGTAAAGTTTGGGAATAATTATTTAATGATAATCCCTGAACTTGTAAAAAATCAACAAATGACAAGACTTTTAACATTTTAAATTGTATATTATTCTTGTAACCAACAATACTAGTACATTCAAAATCATTAGGTAACATTTGTATTCTTTTACCTATGACCTTGCGAGATCATGCAAAACTATTTAGTTTCACTACAAGGTGCGACACTTAACATAGGATGCTAAACTCATACTATCAGGCATAACCTAAACAGGCTATCCTACTGCTGTCTACTCAATTCTAGCATGCAATATTCATAAAGCTGTAACACATAACCAGGCACATAAGGCATCACTCCTAGATCCTTAGCCCTATTCTAGCATGCGGTTCTACGTAAGATGATAAACATAACATAAACTTGTATGGGTACTATGGGGAATACTTACTTGAGCTCGGCCGGTCGCGCACGTCACACACTTCGCTCTTTCTTATGACTCTTTTCCGAGTTTTAGAGAACATTTTCTATTGGAAAATCTTTCAATCCCTCGATTTGAGTTCAGACACCCCCGAAGGCGTGTCCGAATCCCTCAAACCAGGGCTCTGATACCAACTTGTAACGACCCAATTTTCATGTCCAAAAATTTCATTTTAAAATATTACTTTAGAGAACATTAATAAATAAAAACATTGTTTGATCACACCACAACACATCGCAAACCATGTTTTAAAAGTCAAACCATACATCCCATCAAATATCAGAGTACAATCCCAGTAAATCTCGTAAGTGCGGAAACCGAAGAGTGTGTGTGTGACATGCTGCTACCACGCCGGCTCCTTTCCCCTAGCTGACATGCTGCTACCGCGCCGGCTCCTTTCCCCTAGCTGAGGAGGTACCTGAAACCAAAACTGAAACCGTAAGCACAAAGCTTAGTGAGATCCCCCATAATACCCCATACCATACAGCATATAACAAATAACATGCAATTAGGAGATACGGGCCCCGCCCACACTCGTGAAGATACGGGCCCCGCCCACACCTCACTTTCTGAGAGATACGGGCTCCGCCCACACTCGTGAAGATACGGGCCCCGCCCACACTTCGCTATCTGGGAGATACGGGCCTAGCCCACACTCCATTCTCGGAGAGATACGGGCCTCGCCCACACTCAACCGCCAACACATATCATACAAGTATCACACAGACAACAAGTGCAAACAGTTCTATCATACTGGTATATATCACAATCAACTCGACTAATAGATACGGGCTCGGCCCACACTATAATACTAACGTCTCATCTATACGGGCCGACCTTGGTGCCTTAGACCCGTTACTACTGGAAGGAAACTCACCTCGAAATAGTTGCTGGTCTGTGTGGGAATTGATCACCTACTACTGCTGCTGCTGCTCCGGAAACTCCCCGGCTGTAATTCCCACAATATACTTAATCATACACTGCTAACTGTCCTTTGGGTAAAAAGACCATTTTACCCTTGGTCTAGCCCTAAGTCAAATCGAAGTCAACTTTAGTTGACCCAACTCGCCGAGTGGATCTCCACTCGCCGAGTCCCTAGCAAACTATTGTCCTGGGTCCCTGGTTCTACTCGTCGAGTTGGGCTATGACTCGACGAGTTCATCTTCTAACTGTCATTCAACTCCTTCATCCTACTCGCCGAGTTGTATGAACAACTCGTCGAGTTCATCTTCATCCGAGGAACACATATGCTAAGACTCGCCGAGTCTGTTCTTGATCTATGAAGATTGCCTTGGACTCGCCGAGTCAGGGCATTGACTCGCCGAGTCCTAACATGGGTGAGTTCAGCTCCCAACTCACCGAGTCACCCCCTGTGACTCACGGCTCAACTCGATACATCATGAAGGGACCAATTCGGTGACTCGCGACCAGACTCGCCGAGTCACCTATACGACTCGCCGAGTCGTCGCCATGCATCCACCAAATACACCGATTTACTCGATTTCAGTCCATGCCATTCATAGATCTGGACTTCTAGGACACAAATCACACGTAAAGTTTCCAACTTTACGTGTGGATATTCACTAATATGGATTTTAGGGTTCAAAATGCCTCAAAAGGGTAGATCTAGGATGAACAAGCCACATGGGGCCATAAAGCTAACAGATCTGAGCTCCTGGAGCTCAATCTTGCCTAGATCTAAAGGCCAATCCACTTATTACGAAACATTAAGCACAAACAAGCTTGGGAATTGCTCAAGAGTGTCTTAAATGAAATCTTAAGCATAGAAACAGGGGAAAACGAGATATACCTCAATGAAACAGCTGAAAAACACAATGATGCTTGGATGGCTCTCCTTCCTCTTGATCTCCTTCCCCTTCTTGCCTCAAAACCTTCAAGAATGCACACAAGAGCCTCAAATCACAAGAAACAAGCTTAGGACGAGTTAGGACGAGGGTTGGGAGCTCTGGGGGTGAATGGGGGCTGGCAAGGGGCAGATATGAGGTTTAAATAGGGTGCAAACCCCTGAAACTTAGGGTTTCATCCAACAGCGGTGACTCGCCGAGTCCAGGATATGGACTCGCCGAGTCGCCAACTTAAACGTGTCCTGGTCTCGTCCCTACTCGGCGAGTCGGACCTTGTGACTCGCCGAGTCCAAGGCTAAAATAGGGCAATACTCAAATAAAATTCACATACCGGAAACCAGGTGCTACAAATCTCCCCCACTTATTTTAGACTTCGTCCTCGAAGTCTGCTGCCCGGTCCTGAAACAGCTCGGGGTAATGCTCCATCATCTCGTCCATCGGTTCCCAAGTCCATTCCGAACCCTTGCGGTGCTGCCATTGCACCTTTACTAGTTCTACCCTCTTGTTTCTCAACGTCTTTGTCTTTCTGTCAAGTATTGCGACTGGGCGCTCAATGTAATTCAAGCTGTCATCAACCTGAATATCCTCCAATGGTACTACTGC